GAGAGAGAGGAGGGAGTCTATGAGCAAAGGCATCAAGATTATGATGGGGAAACCTACAGAGACAGCCAAACCAAACTAGTGAGCACTCATGAAATTTAGACCAACACCTGTGGAGCTTCCATGGGACTGGACTAAGCCCTCTGCATAAGCGAGACAGTTGTGTAGCTTGATTGCTTAAGGGGCCCCCTGGCAGTAGGGTCAGGATCCATCCCTGGTGCATGAGCTGGCTTTTTAGAGCCCACTACCTATTGTGGGACACCTCGAACAGCCTGGAGGCAGGGGAAGGGGCTTAGACCTGCCTCAACTGAATGTATCAGGCTCTACAGAATCCCCATGGGAGGCCTTATTATCTTGTGGGAGGGAATGAGGTATAGGTTGGGGGAAGGCTGGAGGGATGGGAGGAAGGAAGAGGGGGATCTATGATTTGTATGTAAAATGAATAAAAATTTTCTTAATAATAAAACAAAGAAAATACCCTACAGACTTGCCTGTAGACCCATCACATGGAAGCATTTCTTTTTGATATCCCCTCCATTCAGATGATTTTAACTTGTATCTAGTGGACATGAAACTAACCAGCACACAATGTACACTAGAAATGTATGGAGTTTTAATTCTGTAATGTGTCATTTTAATGAAATTTATAGCATTGCAAGTATATAAGAATGGACAAATATAAAATTAATATAATAATTAATGACACATAAAAATAATCTATCACATATAGAGAAAATGCTCTCTTGTATTGAAGAAAATGTAAAATTTAACATGGTATTAACTTACATTTCATAGTTAAATATATACGTATTTATATACATAAATACAAATAACTGGATCAATCTGGAAACTAAAGTCTATACTATATACACAGTACTGCTCATAACTGATGAAACATGCAGGAAGGTTGATTGAAGGGTGTCGAAATGAGTGAGAGCATTGAGAGAGCAGCATTGGTGCAGTGAGATGCAGAATCCTAGCCCAGGAGAGTCCTCTCCACTTTAGTTCAGGAATTATTCCTTCTCCTCAGTCAATCCTGCCAGCAGCTTGGCTGAGGAAGACAGGGCTCTCCTGACTTCTGCTCTGACCACCTCCCAGGCACAGGGGCTGTGTTTCTTCTCCTTCAGGTAGACAGTGATCCTGTGGAAGTAGTTCCTCACAGCCACCAGGGGGAGTCTTCCTGGCTTGAGGAAGGTTCCTGCACCTCACCCTGCTCCATCAGACAAGCTTGCAGGTCTTTGAGCTGGTGGTGGAGGCCAGTGCAGAATGTGTCTAGGAGGCTTGTCTCCCAAGCAGCAGAGGAGTCCTTTGAGCTGAAGAGGATCAGGACCTGCTGGGTCAGCTCCTGCAGGACAGGGATGGCTTGGGCCTTCTGGATCTGCTGGACATCCACCTTCTCCAGAGGGAATGAAAAGTCCATTCTGTTCTTTGGGGCAGGAGAGAGGGGAGAGTCTCCTCATTTGTGCCAGGAGTGTGAAGGCTCTCTTGTTCCTGAGGTGATGAGTCTGAGGCAGGTCACATCCTAGACAGCAGCTTGACCAGTAGTGCATCACTGCCAGGAATGCCAGAAAATCACAGGGCCTGGCCATTGTGAATGTGGCAGATGCTGCTGGTCCTTTGGGCTCTGTGGTCCTGAACCTTCCCCTCTGGGTTCTCTGAAGTCCATCTTGTGTGCATGAGTCTTAACAGGGGAAAGCACTCTTTCCTACTTTCTAATCCCCTACTTACTTCCCAATTCTCTTTTCACTTTCTCTCACACATTCTCTGCTGGTGTCTGGGTTTTTTTCTCAAGCATTTTTGTTTTCATTATTATGTCAACTTTCCATGATCCGCTCAAGAGAGCCGTTTTTAGAGGTTCTTTTCTCAATAAAATTTCATTACCTTTTATAGAACACATATACCTCAAATGTATGAAGTTTACTCATCTAATATAAAGAATGAAAAATATTCATGAAAAGTGTACATAGAAGCTACTGAATAACTCAGTCACCCACGTTCTTGAAGTGCGCATGAGCACCTGATTGGTTTCCCAACACTCACGTAAAACAGGCACAGAAACACATGCTTATAATCCTGAAACTTGGGAGGTGATACAGACAGGTCCTTGGAGCTTTAAGGCTATCCAATATAACTGCAATGTTGAGCCCTAGCTTAAATGTCAGAGAAAACAAGGTAGGGAGGGAGGGAGTTAGGAACTGGACATTGACATCAGGAATCAACTTACGTGAACACACACATGTAAATGCAAACACATAAATGTGTGCATGCCCTACATCAGACACACACAATAAAGAATCACAATGAAATAAATGAACAAAATACAAATTGAGCCAAGTGTGGTTGCTCATATCTTCATTTTTATTATTTGGGCGGCAGAGGTAGGTGGTTATTTATATTGAAAGATAGGTTGGTTTCTGTAGTCAGTTCCAGGAGAGCCACGGCTACATAGAGAAACTCTGATTAAAAAAATAATAATAATAACAAAAGAAAAGAAAATAGAACTCGAGTATATTGAGAAGTTAAAGTTTTATACATTTATTGAAGTGTAAAGGTGAATATATTATATATTAATATCTAAATCTCACAGAACGAAGATGGTGTTGGCTGCCAGCACATGGTGCTGAGCTCCAAGGAGGCTCAGAGACCCACGGAGGCTCTGAGATGTGATGTCTCGGGGAAAAGGGGTCTGCAGGACCTGCAATAGCTCCAGAACAACCAAGACAAAAATAAAGCAAGTTTTATGGGAAGATACTTTTAAAATGTGGAAGGAATGAGGGAGGAACAAAGCCAGGCATAGAAAACGGTAAATCCGTAGCCTTCACTACCACATCTCAGCCAGCAGGCTACAAGCACAGAAATCATTCCTGATGAGCCACGGGGCTGCTGGCACTGATGACCGGAAGAAGTGTGGCTCTCTGGGAGCTCCTGCAGAAACACTGCTGAACAGGGCCAGCCCTAGGGCAACTAGCTAGGCCCTGGCATGGAGCCATCCTGGCTGTGGCTAGTCCCGCGTGCCCTTCTGGGAGACAGTGGGAGCAGGGTCACAGTGCTGCCTGCAGCCTACAGGTACAGCGGTCCTGCCTAGAGACAGAGATGTGCACTGGCCTAGAGCTCCCGTGGAAATATGTCATAACTGAATAGGTCCAGTCCTAGGCCAGCCAACCAGAACCCAGTAGGCTGCAGCCAAGGCTGGAGCTTCTTTCTCTGCTAGGAGACAGAGTGGTGGGGCAACAATGTTGTCTGCAGGCTACAAGCACAACATAGGAGCCTGGCAAGCCTTAGGGCAGTAGACATAGAGGGCAGAGAGGTGTGCTGCAGCAGGAGCTTCACAGAACCTGCCCCTAGGATGCCCTGCATAGCTGCGACATCACCCTGCTTCTGGACAGCAGGAGGATTTCTGAGATGAGTCTTGGCAATGGTCCAGGATTTATGGTGCTTCAGAAATCAAAAACCTTGAACCTGACCAATGACTCGTGGCAGTGAATATTTGCATGTAAACCTGTCTGGGCCACACACACACACACACACACACACACACACACACACACACTGCAGCTTCCACTGCCACTGTGAGGAAGGAATATTCAGTGGAGTGGGGAAGGATAGAGGAAGGAGTGGTGAGTGAGTGGTGGAGAGAGGCGGAACTAGAGCCTCTATGATTGTGACAGGTTCCATAGAAGGCTGTGGTGGATGGAGGAACATGCAGTTTCCAAGCAGAGGCAGCAGGGTGGTGTGCAGCAGCCTGAAGACTCCATTCCAACTCAGCCCCGAACTGGCTGCCCAACAACAAGATCACCCTGGTTCTGAGCAATGACATGACACCCAAGATGAAGAATGGTCATTGTCTGAATCAGACCTTCTCAAAAGATCTCTATGGTTCACGCTGCCCCTGGAGGCCACTTGGTATCTGTGGTCCACTGCCAGAGGCCATGTTGAAGCTGGAGGTTCATGTGGATGTCCATGGTTCTACAGCAGCTAGGAGCTGTGTTGATGTCCCTGGCCTGAGTTACCAACGAAGGCTAGGCAGAAGTCCTTGGTCTGTGCTGCAGCCTAAAGCCATATTGATGTCAATTGTCCATGCTGACACTGGGGGCTATACTGATGTGAGTGGCCCGTGCTGCCATCTGAGGCCACGGTGATGTCCAGGTCCATGCTGCTGCCAAGGGCCATGTATAGTCTGTGGTCCTATTGCAGCTGGGGCCTGTGTTGATGTCCATGGCATGTGTTACCACTAAGAGCTATGCAGGTGTCTGTGAACTCTTGTTGATGTCCTCAGGCTGTGCTGCCACTGAAGGCGATGTTGATATGGGTGGCCTGCTCAGCCACCTAAGGTCATGTTGATGTCCTTGGCATATGCTGCCATCAAGGGCTAGGATGGGGTCTATGACCCCTGCAGCAGCAGAGGTCTGAACTGGTCTGAACTGCCACCGCAGACCATGCTGAGGTCCATGGCACCTGCCAACCCTGGAAACAATGTGGATGTCTGTGCTCTGTGTCCTCACTAGAAACCATGTGTAAGTCCATGATCTGTGCTCCTGATGACTGTAAAGGGCAAGGAAGCTACTTTTGCCATGGTATTGATGACTGCAGACTCACAGTTGAGATGGAGGGACACAAAGACCTCTATGACAACGCCTCCCTCTAATCCTCCTCCCCGCAAATAACAACCTAGATAGAAAGCCATCCAAAAGAATTCTTAAGAATTGTGATAAGGATGCTGAAATGCAGATATTCAAAATTAATGGTATCTGATGGTGGAGCAGGTAGGGAAGAACTCAGGTTTCTTTAAGGGGCTTCCCCCTGGGAGATTTACCATGCTCCAGTGAGTACATGAGCAACACAAAGATGTGGGTTTTTTCTTTTTTCTTTCTTTTTTTTATGGAGGAGGGAATCCTAAGAATAGAGGAGCAGACATGGGAGGACTGAGAAATGAGTGTGCTCAGGGTTAAGGATTCCTGGAAGACTTTGAGATGACAGAACAGTCAGAAAGAATATTTCAAATATTTTCATTTTCAAAACATTTCTTCATTGTTTTTCTTCCTTTTTTGTGGGGAGTCATTCATTTGTGTGCTTTCTCTGTGGCCTGAAAACACAAGACTCAGACACTAAGTTTTAAATAAGATGTTAATTTTCCCAATAAACCTCAAATATACCAAACTTCTTAGTTAGGATTTCTATTGCTGTAAAGAGACACCATGACCATGATAACTATTATAAAGAAAAATATTTAATTGGGGTGGTTTGGTTCCAGTTTCAGAGGTTCAGTCCAGCATGTTTGCCTGCCTGCATGCCACCATCTCCCTGGAGTAGTAGTTGAGAGTCCTACATCTTACAGGCAACAGGAATTCAACTGAGACACCGGGCAGTATCCTGAGCATAGGAAACCTCAAAGCCTGCCCTACAGTGACACACTTCCCCCAACAAGGCCATCCCCACTGCAGTCTAGCCACACTTCTAATAGTGTCACTCCCTAGGAGATTATGGGGGCCAATTACATTCAAAGTACCACACCAAATATAAATAGAAAATACTCCAATGAGAAAGATCTGTGGTAGAAACTCTAAGTGCATCTATACATGTAAACATACACAGAGTAACCAGATGGGTATCATATCCACATATTGCTCTTTTGGGAACAAATTTTTAACTTTAGTCTTCAGTCCACTCCTTTCCTTGCTTCCTTTAAATGGGAAATGAGCTCTCTCAGCTCTATGACTTTCCTTTATTGTGTAGAGATTCCATATCACAAAGGCCCTTCAGTTCCCATAGGCTTATATGTTTGAATGCTTTGCCCCCACTTTATGTAACTGTTTGGAAAGAGTTAGGGGGTATAGACTTGCTGGAGGAGCTGTGTCGATGGGGTGGGCTTTGCAGTTTCAAATGCCCAGCCAGGCCCATTCTCTTTGTGTCTGCCTGCTGTCTGAAGATCAGGATGTAAACCTTTTAGTTACTGCTCCAGTGCCATGCCTGTTTTCTTCCTATCATAATGGTCATAGACCCTACTATCTTCTGGAATAGTGAGCCCTAATTTAAATGCCTTTTTTTATGTAAGAGTTGCATTGTTCATGGTGTCTCCTTACAGCAATAGATTACTAAAACACGAATGAGTGAAAAAATACAACCATCAATGCTGTGGATATCACTCTATATAAATAAAACACTGATGGCCAGTGACCAGGCAGGAAGTATAGGCGGGACAAAGAGAGAGGAGAATTGGGGAAACAGGAAGAAGGGGGAGAGACACTACAGCCACTGCCAGGACCAGCAACATGTAAAGAAGCCAGTAATTTTCTTTACACAGCCACGTGGCAAGCTATAGATTTATAGAAATGGGTTAATTTAAGATAAAAGAACAGTTAGCAAGAAGCCTGCCACGGCCATACAGTTTATAAATAATATAAGCGTCTGAGTGATTATTTTATATGTGGATTGTGGGACTGCAGGGCTTGGTGGAATCTGGAGAGAAGCCCTCCAGCAACACATCAATTTCTCAGTTTGCTTTAGAAAGCCTAGGTATGGATTTAGATTTTCTTTTTAGAAAAAAATCTAATAGAAAGAAAAGGTGGGGCTGGAGAGATGGCTCAGCGGTTAGGAGCACTGGCTGCTCTTCCAGAGGTTCTGAGTTCAATTCCCAGCAACCACATGGTGGCTCACAACCATCTGTAATGAGATCTGGTGCCCTCTTCTGGCCTGCAGGCAAACACGCAGCCAGAACACTGTATACACAATAAATAAATAAATAAATATTTTTAAAAAAAAAAAAAGGTGAGTGCATTTGATAAATTTTCATATGAAGTAAAAAAAAAGTGGTATGTGTTCCAAGAAATATGTAAGTATTATAAATATGACAAGAAAAATGAATAAGAAGATTACATATTAACACATCAACATCAATAACATTAAGACTGTTGTGAATTAAGGCCTGATTACTTGGAATTAACATTTTTCATGTGTCTTGTTTAATCATACTAGCAAAAGAGCAGCTGAATTGATTTTAAAATTATTATTAAAAACTGCAATAAACACCTTTTTAAATAACCAAAGATAAGCTAATGTGGTACTCACCACTAATCCAAGCTCTCAGGAGGTAGACACAGGAGGATGGGGTGTTGAAGCCCAGCCTCAGCTTTAGAGCATCTTCAAGAAGAGCCTGGGCTGTACGATTCCCTGTGAGGACAGAAGGGGGCTCGAGGGAGACAAAAAAGAAAAGAGGAAATGGAGGGAAGAAAAGAAGGAAGGAAATGCACAAGGAAGCAAGTGCCGGTGAGATGTCAAATTAGTCCAGGAGAATCATTTCAAGACATCCTCACGTGCCCCCTCTGTTTGAGTGTTCATTTAATCTTGTTTTGTTTTCAAACAGGCTACATCTTGGCTGTAATTGTGAGATTTTGTGACCTATGAATAACTTTCCTTGTGAGACAGATCAGGAAGACCCAACTCTTCACAGTGGGGTGTATTTTCCTTGCAGATTAAATATTGGGTGAAAGTTCACTGGCAAAAAAATATTAATCTCTCATTAGATGTTTATTGCCAGAACTCCTTTATGTTCTTTTCTGTTAAATAGACTGAAGCCGTCAAACATCACTTGACTATTTGATTGGCAGCTGTCAAACTCTTCCCCCAGGTACCCATTACATGGGCATCTGTCAGGTAGCAGAACAGAATGAGTCCCCTAGTTTCAGCAGACACAAGTCTAGGAATGGGAATGGGAGTCCCTGCTATATCCTCCACGGTTCTGAGCTAACCAGGGATGTAACTGACATATCAGCCACTCCTGAGGTCCCATCTGGGTGGCCCACACACAGCCTCAGCTCAGGCATTTTCCATGGATGGCAGAAGCGGTCATCAAGCAGCTGCTTCTTCAGCATTTCCTCCAGTTGTCCTCAAGACAATCATCGTTTTAAAATGTCAGGAAGACAGCCATTCTGCTTCACATAGCCCCTCTGGATGACTCTGCCTACAGCTGTTCCAGATAACCAGGCCTCCTTGCAGCAGTCTTCATTCAGGGAAGAGGACTGCTCCCATCAGCTGGTGTGTGTGCATGACTGGCTATACAAGCAGCACTCCTTATTCTCTTGGGAGCAATAAGGAGACCTTCTTCCTGTGCACTGACACCTCTTCCTTAGCCCTGGGCTGCAGCCCCAGCCCAGTAAAGCCCCATTTAAGTGTTTTGCTGCCTAATTATGGTTCTTATCACAGATTAATGGGCTAAAGTGATCATTGCCAGCTTAACACTAGCCAGAGAAAGTGAGTACCAGATGGAGGCTGGAAGAACAAAGCCAGTTGTTCTTTCTCCAAGATGGGAACGCTAAAGACACGGGCTCCGTCCAATAATGGGGTCAGTTCTTTTCAAGAAAGAGCTCAGTTAACTGTGGAGAAAAAAATCTGCCAGGAGATGGAATTCTGCAGAGTAGAAAAGCTCCAGGGCTTTGTGCCCTTTGCCCACCAGGTGGCTCTCAGCCCTAGTAAGGACATTAGATCCTAGTGTGAAGTGACTAAAGATTTTGCTTTCTTTTTGCGTCGCATCGTCACTTCATAACAAGGGCATTCCCTTTGACCAGGAAGGCGGGGTGAAGGTGCGGGAGAATCATCTTTTATATATAGAAATTTCTGAGAAAAAAAATCCTCAACTTTTGCTTTCAATCAGTGGGCAAATGACTGACAGAAACCAGTGTGAGAAAGGAAGCAGCTGCTCAGATGAGAGGACAGGTTGATGCGGGGAGGATGAGGAGAGAACCCCGGGGATTTCTGCACAGGGCCAGAGGTGGCTGTTGTGATCAGAGTGGAAGAATGGTACTCAAGGACACATCAGAACCAGCTTCAGTTTAGTGGGTATGTTATAGCTTGCATTCAAAATGTACCCCAAAGGCCCATGTGGAAATGTACTCCAAAGGCCCTGGTCCCCTGGGTGGTGGCATTGTGTAGTGTTGTGACCCTTCAAAGGGTGGAACTTAGTGCCAGGCTCTGAGGTCTGTATGGTGAGGAGCATGCTGTTCATTTCATGGGAATCGTGGGATGATGATTTTGTTCCCCTCTCACTCTTCCTCTTTGTCCCTCTCTCGTTCTCCTTCCCCTTCTCTCTCCTCTTCTTCTCCCTATTTCTTTTCCCATTTTCCTGTCTTTCCTCACTCTCTCACTGTCCCTTGATGGAATATGAGCTCCAGCTCTGACACATGTTCCTGTCCATATGTACTCTTGAAGGCGCAAGTTAATTCAGCTAACCTTGGACTTCAGCCAAGAGTTCAAATAAACTTATTTTTATTTCTTACATAGTCGCTATTATATATTTTGTTATAGCAGTGGAAAGCCAATACAGAAGGTTAATGTGTCTTCCAGATTTTTATGCAAACCACCATTTTACAGTTTTTCTTTCAGAGTACTTTAAAAACAAATGCAGCAGATCTTCAAGTTTACCTTGGCATCATCCATTTGGCATCTGGACCAGCAAAGTCTATCATCCAGTTTTATGCCCATTGTTTAATGGCTTTTTTTTTTAACGTGTAAAACAAATATCTAAAGGGAAAATGTACTGTTTCATAACCTCTTCAGAGATGGGCTCCCTGGGGGCCAGATAGGCCTGTGTGACCCAGATCGATCCCCATGTCATTATCTTTGCATCCAAATATTTCTTGTGGCTATCCTGAGTGTTATTTGGACGTGCTTGATTTCCTTCTCACATTCATAAATTATATACTGTCTCCTTCCCTCCACTCTCCCTGTAGCCTTTTCAAGCTCTTTCACATCATTCTTCCCCCCTTTGAGGTAGGAAAGAAAACGGACAAGTCACCTTAGTTTACCAACTTACCACATCCTGCGGCGCCCAACAGTTTTCAACAGTTTCACTGATACTTGGTACCTCTTAGAGCTTTCTACTCTGTCTCTCAGATGGGGTAAAAAAGCAAAGTAGGGAGACTTTCTTCCAGGCAGCGGGGAGGTAAATAATGTCCTTGTCCCACCATTACCACTAATACCACTAACGAAAGGGGGCACCTGCGGCCAGGAGTTCTATATCCCTAAGGTCCTGAGGCATGCCACATGGACATAGGAGAGAGGTTTTTTTCCATTGAAGCCGAGAATTGAACAGCACTCCCAGCTTCCCAGCTTTTATTGGGCATAATAGAATGAGGTGCAAGAGCTGTGCCTCACTAGGGGTGTATGGACAGACCTTTCCTCGCCCTTTGAACTCGGGGCCTCAATATTCTAGCCATTCGAGTCTACGTGTTAAGTTCCAATTTTGGAATGTGTGGTTTATGTTCTCTTACTATTCCTAGATGGTCAGCAAGGAAGCTTTGGCTCCGAGAATCCCATATAACTTGGCCTGTCCCGTGCCAGGATGAAATGACACTCGGGGTAATTAGAGTGCAGAGGAAAAAGTCTGGATGGCCCAGAGACCAGGTCAAGGTCTTGATTAGAATTTCTCTCTCTAAAGGCACCAAATGCTTGCCTAATAGAAACTTATTTGCACTCTGGAGATAGGTCTGTGAAAATTAATGTATTTTGAAGATGGAGTGTCCTCACAAATATGAATCATGGAAAGGAGGATGGTGGTGTGGCAGCAATGTCCCTGTCACTTCCCCTACCCCTGCCCCAACTGTATCTCATTCTCTAAGCTACAGCCAGTTCTCAAGTTGCTAAGTAACTCCAGTCCTATAACTGGAGCTCACAGGACACTTCATCTTTCCCTGCAGATGACAAAGACAAACTACCACACTCCCGTGAAAAATGTGGATATATGTGTGAAGGGGGAGCAAATAACATGGTAATGAAAGCCAGAGGTGATTCTCCCTCGAGGATTCCCGATCCAGAGTGAATCAGTGTCTCTAACTGTGGCAAAAACATGATTGCGAGGGTGTTCTTCAAGAGATCGTTGAAGAGGACCTCCTGGCTCAGTAGAAAGGCCAACCCCAAGAACTCACAGGGCAGTGTGCTAGGCCTGGTACCGATGGCCCCCTGTGGGGCCTGGCAAGGGATATAGATCCTCTGGGAAGCTTTAAACAGCAGTTCAGTGGAGCTGGAGGCATTGAAGGTAATGACTGATATCCATATGGGATTTTGCAGATAGTTTCGAATGTTTTAATGGTTATCTGTTTTCTTATTGTTTAGAAACCTGCAGGAAAGGAGAAAGCAGGTTCTCCCTTTTCTCACTCAGAAAAGTGAATGGACTTACTTGCCAGGGCCACAGCAGGGGCAGGGAACCAGAGTGAGATTTGGGTACAAAACAGATTAAGAACCATTATTTTCTCCGTTTTATGAATGCCAGAGATAAATTGCTAAGGTCAAATGCTGAGTCCAGTTGGGTCTGGTGAATTACATGACCCCTTCCCTCTAGAGCAGTGGTTCTCAGCCTTCCTAACGCTGGGACCCTTTAATACAGTTCCTCATGTTATGGTGACCCCCGACCATAAAACTATTTTGTTGCTACTTCATAACTGTAATTTTGCTATTGTTATGAATCATCATATCTGATATGCAACCCTCAAGGGTTGTCTATGTGGAAATCTCAAGCTATTCTTTTTGACTAAAACAAAATGACACAATCATACAAGTGAGTCCCAGAGAACATCTCCCCACTCCTTGAAATCAGAGGACTCTAGACTATGGAGATATAGGTACTCACCAAGCAGCTTCATAGTGATCATCTTAGGCTTTTCCCAGAAAAAAAAAAAATGTTGAGCGTAAACCTCTAATATGTTTGCTTTTAAATGGTAGAAAATAAACATCTACATTAGAAATTTCTAAACAAATAAGTAAATCTGTTCTAAAATATTCCGTAATCATAATAATCATTTGCCAATAAAAAAAATACTAATGTTGGGTTGGAGAGATAGCCCAGCAGTTGAGAGCAGTGGTTGCTTTTTCAGAGAATCAGAATTCACATGGCTGCTCGCAACCAACTGTAACTCCAGTCCCAGGGGATCTGCTGCCCTCTTCTGACCTCTGTGGGCACTTCACCCATGTGTTGCACAGACAAACATGTAAAATAAATAAATCTAAAAATATATACTTAAGTGTTATAAACATTATCAGCATAATGTTTCAAAACTATAGTTATGAGAAAGCATTTCAATTTTCTTTCAAGGTATTTTTTTATTAATTCTTTGGGAACTTCACACCATGCACCCCATTCCACCCATCTCCCAATTTCTCTGCATCCACCTCTCACCTTTATAGTACCCCACAAAGGAAAACTAACAAAGAAATAATTTTAAAAAGGATAAAGATAAAAAAGAACAAAATAATAAAAATTACAATAAATAAAAATAAAAGTAAGACTATCAATTTCAATTTAAAAAACAAACAAGCAAACAAAACAAAACAAAAAAACAACCACTTCAGTCCTCCATCTTTGCCTCTCCACCACCTCTTTATTCATCTTAGCAGCACTGGAAGCTGCTGTGTGTCATGCAGTAGACCCTTTTGTCCCAACAGCTTTCCCTGCAAATGTTCATTGTATAATGTGTTGTTGGTCAGGCTCAAGGGCTCTGGCCTTCAGCACACTATCAACACTGGGCCCCCACAGAAACTCCCCAAACATCTCACTGTTGCCCCGAGTCATATAGACCATGGGGCCATGGCCCTGCAGGACCAGTCCCTTCACACTCTCCAGCAGGTAATAGATGGGGCAGATGTTGGGGTGTGCCAGCTCAAAGCCCTGGGTGGGTGCTGAGTTGGTCAGTCAGGGCCACTGGGACCACTCCCCTCAGGTACCAGGCAGGGCCAGCTGTCTTCCACACCTGTGCAGGGTGAGGGGTGGGGGCCATCTTTCCCAATTGTGGGAAGCCAACTCTATTAGGAGAGTTACCCCATCTCCTGTGCTGGGGTAACTTATCCCAGGGCCACTGAAGTCAACCCTCTGATGAGGTGGGTGCAGCTCTCCCCAGGCCAGTGAGGATTGAGACCAGCTCAGCAAGGCCTTTGTACTTAAACTTACGGTTCAACACCTGGTTCACAGGGGCCCTTGTGGTAACACTGGCAACAGACGTTAATACAGACCCCAGCTGTGGCAGGACCATGGACCCAGACATGGCCAGCAGCAGCAGCTTGGGCCTCAGTGTCACCATGGACACGGGTGGCATCATAAGCCTCTCAGATTGGCATGGGCCCACCAGCAGTGGGATCTCCAGACTCTAATATGGTTCCCAGGTGGCAGTAGAGACCCCATCAGTCGAATAGCCCCTGAAGGCAACAGGAGCCACAGAACTCAGCACAGAACCTGGCTGCAGTTGGTCCCAGATATGGCCCCTGTCCACAGCTTAGACCTAGATATCAACATGGCCCCAGGTGACAGTGCAGGCCACCCTGATCTGCATGGCCCCAATGGCAGCATGATCCTTGTGTACCAATATAGCCTCAGGTGTTGGCCCACAACCCAGGCATCTGTACTGCTTTTGGTGGTAATCTGATTCACAGACATCAATGTGGACCCTGGCTCTGGTGGGGCCACAGACCCAGACAAGGACCTTTCAGCATCCCAGGCCCCTGACAACTCCATGGTTATTGGTGGTACTGTAGGCCACTCAAGTCAGCATGGCCCTGGCAGCTGCATGTCTCTTGGACCCCATGGACATGGTCTCGGGTGGCAACCTGGAAGCCAGCATCCTTGTGGCCTTTGGTGGGAACATGGGACATGGACATCAACATAGACCTCAGCTGCCATAGAACCATGGACTCAGACATGATTCCTCAGCAGCTCTCGGTCCTGAGTGCAGGCCTCTCAGATTGCAATTACCCCAGCTGCAAGGTCACCCTGGGACAACAACATGGCCCCAAGTGGCGGCCCAGACCTTATGTATCCACACAGCCTTCAGTGGTAACAGGAGCCATGGGTGTCAGCACAGACCCTGAGTTAAAACATCAAGGTATTTTTTAATTCAAATATTGAATTAAATATTCTTTGTTTAAATTACATATAGATGGAAAATGTACTTTTTCTTGTAAAAAAAAATGTTAGTACACAAGAAAAAAATTATTTTGAAATTTAAAAATGATACATGTTTCACTGGGACATTTGTGTCCTGGAATGTTTATTGCTTGCTATAAATGAAGTCCCTAACCCCTACCAGGGTATCTTAACCTCAAGCATATACCAGAATCACCGACAGAGCTAGTTTAACATGGACTATATTGCTTGTACACATTTTTTTTCTGATTCAATAAATTTATGAAAGGGCTCTAGAGCCAGCCTTACTAACAAATGCTGAAATGGTTCTTTGTAATCAACTCACATAATTGGTGGGAATGATAAAGGTGACAGTCTCTCTGGAGTTGCTAATCTCATAGGACCCTTTGGTTCCTGAAAGATTTAATAAGTATCCCTCATTCCAATTTGAGCTCTAGAACCATCTGGGAGACAGGCCTCTGTGCATGCCTTGGGGAGTTATCTGCTCACTGTGGGTGGCACCATTTCCTAGGCTAGGATCCTGAACTATATAAAAAGGAGTGAGAGAATATACGGATTCTCCTCTTGATAGTGGCTGCAATGTGATTGAATGCTTCAAGCTCTTGCTGCCTTGAATTCTCTGTCATGATTGACTCATACCCTTAAACTCTGAACCAAAATAATCCCTTTCTTCTTTAAGTTTCTTCTGTCAAGGCATTTTATTACAGTTACAGGAGTAGAATTTAATAACTGTGTGGAGGATGCTTTTTTTTTTAAATCTCTGCCTTTCAAAAGGCAGTGCAGTTTAAAGGTCATTGCTATTTTATTATTAAAAATACTGCAAACAGAGATTATTTAAAGGCTTATAAAACCCCAAGTGCTCTCTGTCTTTATGGCAATAACTCCTTATTAAGGACCCAAACCAACTTTTCTCTGCAAATGTTTATGGTGCTCCTGTAGTGTGGATGGTGAGGATCAAAGCCACTATCATAACAACAGCTGATGAGAAAATACTGATGTGAATACCAAGAAACCAAGACTGAGTTACAAACTAAATGATGACAAAATGATCCAGTAACATCCTTTGGGGAAGAATATATGTTTGGAAAATAAGGAGATTTGGGCCCATCAGAGTGACAATCCATATAAAACATACTTACTGGTGTTTTTGCTGTTCATGGGGTCTCCTGTTCTCAGCTTTGGGAAGTCTGAAACCCAGAGAGATTCTGTAAGTGCAGCTAGCATGTTGAGAACACAGCAACATTCAGCACAAGATGAGTGCTCAATAATTTACTTAGTAGTATTTTCTGTGAATGATCTCTTGGGACTTAAATTGTATGCCTAAGAAAGGTAAATCTTTGAGATACATGAAATTCTAGATTTTGAGTTAAATGTAAAGAAAATCTGATATTCCAATGTGAACCTCTTCTGAGAATGATAATTAGGTTTTCAAACTCCAGGAAACATCGGTATCATGGGCTATTAGTCTCCAAGTTTACTTTGTCCATCACAGTTCTGTTTATTTTGCTTTTGCAACTTAGGAATCAACTTGAAAATATAAGTGTGATTATACCTATGTAAAGAAAGGAAAGACTGAGAAGTTTAATTTTTTAATGGAATAACAAAATATATAGCATTGTTATTCAATTTGGGTATCATCCACAAAAAATAATCAGGATTTGATAGAGCATTTGGAATTGATTCCTGCAACTGACAGAAAACAAAATGAACAGCAATGGAGAATATCATGCCATCAGGGCTCACTAAAGTCCACATTAGCAAAGGCAGCTTAATTGCCTGGCTGCAGAAAATGACATTTGAGATCTATTTTACATACATTTTTGGCATGCTGTCTGAAGCTGGTCTTGTTTTCTTTAGCATATTCCTCAGTCATCAAAACACTGGGGTTGCAGAGGTTCATCTCCTAATTAGGAGAGTCTGTGATTTACTCAGTAATGTAGTTGTCTACACTAACATTTTTTCTTTTGGAATTTTACAGAATGACCGGTTTGATGTAAGGACTGCCATTTGATACAAGGTCTGTGGTGTGTTTTAATTAGGTAAAAGTGGTTATCCCACCCACTAGTGTTTGTTCTGAGACAAAGTCCTCTCTTTCAAGCGATTTCTGTCTTCCAGGGACAGGATGGAACAAGGATATGCCACTAATCCATCATTAGGCAATCTGTGTTTTAAAGACAGGAGAGAAGCAGGCTTCAGGTATTTATCACTGTGTGTTAAGGACTTTGTCAAGCAATTATGGCCATGAAGATGCAATAATTATCTTTGTTTCCTCAAGGGGTGATTAGGAAACCTCTAGAGTCTAGACCAAATTGAGTAAAACTTGTCTTTTACTGCTGTGTCATAGGTAGAGAGTGATTTTGCACTCCTAACTCAAAGATAAGATGAAAATACTTTTCTAGTTAGGACATCAAGAGATCCCTTATACAAATGAATTTGTGACACTGAGAATTAACTGTAAAAAGATATTAAACATGAAGCTTATTAAAAACTCCTTACAATTTTACCATCAGAATTTCAGATTCTACCTATCTCCTAGTTTAGTGTAGGAACATCAGGGTTCTTGGGTCAACAGAGCAAACTATGGGAAAGGAACACATTTTGATGCCTTATATCTGCTTCTGGTGTAAAGGTGGGTGCTTTCCTGAAACTGGCCTGGTAGAGTTTTGTTTGTTTGTTTGTTTGGGTTTTTGTTTTGTAAGAAAGACAGTGACAAGAATCAAAGTATTGAGGTTAATTTCCAGTGGGAAAGAGAATCTTAACTCTGCATGAAATAGCCCGGAAAGGAGTACATGAGCCTTGGTGTAGACTGACTTGCACCCCCAGACTTGGCCTCTGGCTCTACTGCACATGGCCAGCAGGGGGCTTTTCTCCTGTGCAGGCTTCATTAACCCACAGTTGGTGGAATCTGCCCTTCGTTTTATGTATGTGGCTTGCCAAAATATTCCAAAAATATTCATCATAAAAACGGAAGACTTGCACATGCTTCTGCAAACCTTGAATTCAATTTCTACGTTCTGTTTTTGCCTCTCTGTGAAACCTTTAAGCCAGAAACTACAGCAGCAGAACAGGAAGCAGCTGCTGTGTGAACAAGGGTAGGCAGCTAAAGGCAATGGGTGAAGAGCTATAGGGATTTCTACACGGGAGAAGGAAAATACAGGAATACAGAAGGGAACAGATCCAAAAAGGAGATGTGACTGAAGTGTGTCAAGTTTCAGAGTCAGCACTGAATTCAATATACTTTCCCCTTGCCAGCCTGAGTAGTGTCCCCGCCCCCCCCCCATTCAAGCTACTGTTTTAAGCCACTGTGGACACTGAACACCTTCAGTGTGTTGTATACCTATTTTCTAGCTTATCATCTCCTTTCTTGTATTAATGAATATTCTGTGGCTGTGATAGATAAAATGTCATGACCAAGGCAACTTACAGAAGAAAGTTTCTTTAAGCTTATGGGTCCATCATGGCAGGGAAGTGTGGTGGGAAGGGACAGGGACAGTGGAAGGAGCAGAAAATGGAGAACTCACATATTCATAAGACCAAGCAGAGAAAGCAAACTGCAGAGAGGTAAGGATTGTTTTACTCTCAAAACCTGCTCTGAGTGATGTATTTCCTCCAGCAAGGCTGTAGCTCCTAATCCTCCCCAATCATTCAAATGTGGGAACCTATGGGAGGTATTTCTCTTTCAAAGCACAACATTTCTAAAGTGCAGCTATTTTTTTTTTTTTGTCCATCAATGGATGATAAGGTAATGCACCTTCAAATTGTTTGATTGGAAAAAAAAATCCAGCATACATATACAGCTCTACCTTCAGAAAACAAAGATAACTGCCGTTTGTTAGGTGTTGAACTGAGAGATTACCATGAGGGCTTTCAAATGGGTAGATGTCAGCTCTACAAACACATTCCCCACTTTTCATGCAAGAAAACAGAAGTTTAAAGAAGTTGAATTGCCTTGAAGCAGGAGTTCTGTATCCTACGGATGAGTTTATGGGTGATTACCTAGTACTGGATTTCTGTTATTGTTTTAAATCTATTTTCTTATGTTCAAAAATCTTTTTCTTTATGTGTTTGTACTTTTTCACAACTATGTTTGTACTGGCTACTGGTGCTAATCTGTTTTGTGTTCTTACTTTGATTTTATGGAAAAGAAATGTTTAGATGCAGTTCTATTTCTGTGTCAGACAAATGTGTCTCAATTTTATGTTTATTTCAGTATGGTTCTTGTTGAAACCACAAATTTTAAAGAATTTTTACAAAAACAACATTGACTACTATTCAAAGTAAAAACAATTCAAAATTAATCAAGAATGGTCAGACATATACCAGAAATAAAAACAAGTAATATTCTTAGACTATGTACCTCTACAGGAAAATGAGTTGCTGCTATATAAAGTAGTAATAAGGAGCTGAGGAGATGGTTCATTCAGTAAAATGCTTTGCATACAAGCAGGTGGACCTGTGTTCAGATCCCAACATCCAGTGTAAAACAAAAAACTGGGTGTGACCTTGCACAGGGCAAGCAGAGACAGGAGAATCCTGGGCTAATTGGCCACACAGTCTACCTAATTAGAGTTAATTACTGGAAAGCAATTGAAGAAGACATCTGACATTGATTTCTGGCTTCCAAAGACACATTCACATACTCTTTTAGTTAGGGTTTCTATTGCTGTGAAGAAACACCATGACAATGGCAACTCTTATAAAGGAAAGTATTTAAATAGGGCTGGCTTACAGTTCAGAGGTTTAGTCCATTATCATCATGATGGGAAGCACGGTGGCATGCAGGCAAACATGGTGTTGAAGAAGTAGCTGAGAGTTCTACATCCAGATCCTCAGGCAGCAGGAAGAGAGAGTGACACTGGGCCTGGCTTGAGCATTTGAAACCAAAAAGCTAACCCCTAGTGACATACTTCCTCCAACAAGGCCACACCTACTCCAACAAAGCCATACCTCCTAATAGTGCCACTCCATATGAGCCTATGAGGGCCATTTTTATTCAAATTACCACACACACACATACACACACCACCCCAACACATGTTCACACACACACACACACACACACACACCAAAATTCCACCAATAATATACCCATGCTATTCTAGTTTCATCTCTATTATTATGATTAAAGCACTCTAGCAAAAAGTAATGTGGGGAGAAACAAGTTATTTTTCCAGCTCACAATCTATCATTGAGGAAATATGAAGGTAACTGCTTTTGTTACTGCTAAAATGTGAAGGTGAACATGATATATGTGCTAAATACTAAGATCAATAAATTAAAATCATAGTAAACATTGGAATTGATATAATGAAGCACATGAGTAAATAATGCTGATGCCCCTAAGTAGATGCTTTAACACATAGCTGTTTAACATGACTACCATGTTGTGACAAAATGGATTCATTTCGTGTTGAAAGCAGAAAAAATTAGTCTTTTAAAATAATTAAATGTTGGAATACATCTGCCCCTAATAATCATTAATGTTCATGTTTGGTTTCTCATCTATTAATCTTGCAAGCTTAATAATAAAAAAGGCTATTGTTGTGATTTTTGCTCTGGTACCTACTCAGGCACAGTGATTTTGTTCTTTCTTTTCCAGGTAGAAAGTAATCCCTTGGAAGTCCCTCTTCGCAGCCAGCCCACATTTCATAGCAAGTCAGGGAATGCTCACTCCAACTCCTGTACCAAACAGCCTCCCAGAACGTCCTTTGGCTGGTAAGAATTTTTCAAGACCAGTCTCATTTCAATAGAGCTCTTGTATCAAACAGGCTGGGTTGCTGCTAGAGCATCTTGGGAAAACAATGTTTTCCTACTAGTCCCTTGGGGTTGCTGTAGTTTGTCAGAAACAGCAGGCCTTGCTGCTTCTGGTTAGGTTTCTTCTCAGCTTTTAGCTACTGGGGTTTCTGCCTGTCCTGTACCTCTCTGGAAGACATCAGTTTGGAAGTGCTGCCTTTCAAACCAATGCCACAGCTTCTGTATTGTTGGGCTTGTTGTTGTCTCAGAGGTGTCCCCATTATGCACACACCTGGCACATCACTGACACCAGCAATCAGCAGTACTGGGGGTTGGGGCTCTCCAACAGCGCTGGCTCACTTGGCGGGGCCTGCTAAGGCCACACTTGAGGGCCAGATGCCCAGTTGGTAAGCACAGTTAGGGAAATTTCTACCTAGCCTCCATTTTGAATGAT